ATGTTTATTAAATAAAGTCTAATGTTACAACTAATCATGGATCCTTTTAAAAATGCATTGCCCCTTTTTTATTTGAAACAATACTTAAAACATCTTGGAGTCACAATTAAATTTTGTGCATAATAATGAGAACATTGGTCTTTGAACCAGTATGAACCTGGACTGACGGCTGCATCTCAGGATTTAAGTGAGAAGAACTTTACTAGATGCAGGTTTTGATAATGAAGACTACCATTAAACGGCAGATTACTCGGCCGGTTTGACATGAAACCAGGAAAAGTCCAATCTTACCTTCAGTTGCTCTGTGAAACTCATCACTGAGTGTGTTGGTAACATCAATCCAGAAAGTGTAGAGAATATCAGGCTGACCATCCTGTCATCAAAGCAGGCACAAGAAAAACACTATTTGATGGTCTGGTTAAACTTGGAATTCGCTTTAATGGGGAAATGAGGTKACAAGAAAATAAAAAAAAAGTTTACTCAAAAAACAAAAGGTTAATTCAAATGCAATTATTAATTTTTGTTTTCTCATGAAATTAAATCGTTAAGTTGTGAATATAATGTCCTAAGGCATCAAATTCTTTTTTATGTGTTACATTTAAACTTGTTGATTTGAAACTGGGTAGTTATTTCTCTGTGTAGTGATGAACACTTACTGTAAGTATTCACAATAATGAATAATTTAGCCAAAACTTTGACCTCAAGGACTTTGAAAATGTTTTTACTTTTGAATGTTCTGTCCTGTGGTAATGTTTTCTTAACCAGGTAACTACAAAGAATATGTATAGATTTGCTGAAAAGGAAAAACCGTTACTCACTCTAGCAGCATCCTGCTAAAAGTATTGTTCCACTTGTGATACCCAGGGGTGATAGTGGAAAAACTTCCTGAGCCTGAACATTTGTAGACTACCACRCCACACCCACATCCTCACAATCCCATTTCTGTCTGCATTGATAATACCAGCAGATTACAACAAAAAAATGTCAAGACATCAATCAAGCACATTAAGAAAAATGTCGTTTTAAGTAATAACTCATAATACAGACAAACTAGGTTGTCTTCTGCCCAATTTATCCAATAGTACTCTAGTAGTGTATTCCAGGTTGCTGAACAAATTCAGCCTGTTTTCAAAGTGCAATTTGTTGTAAAGGAGAGCTGCCGAAATGAGGTGTGGCTGGTGGGTACTGGCTGGCCTCTGAGCTACAAGGCCTGGCTAACATACTGGATGAAGCAGGGCATGACTCTCAAATTAAAGGCAGTTAAAGGTTGATGAATCCCTTTCTGTTATAGCCCGAACAGACCTTTCTCACATTGTTGGGGTAGGACACAGCAAGGAAAAAGTTTGGACCTGTAGGATGGACGGCAAATGTTTGAGCAATCTCCCTGAGAGGGGAGAGGAGCTGTTTCAGACAAAATCAACATTTCAAAAAAACATTTGGCAAGAAGTATATTATTTTTTATTATTATGGTTGTTTGAGACACTTAAAACTGAAGGTTCACCTAAAGGCCTCTCTGAAGCAGCCAACATGAGTCAGCCTCAGGTGATTGTTTCATAAATATCTTCTAAATTTAACCAGGTGTTTCAGTGCCTTTAAATTACACAATAATTTTAGTGGATAGATATCTGTAAATGCATTCTGACTAGACATATTAGTTATTTTAGATATTTGTAATTATATTTTGACAAAGCAAAATATTTATTTGAGACTGGCGATTCTAACAATGAAAGACTGCTCCGTTAACAAMCACCACAAACTTTAGAGTTCCTACCAAACCGTCTTCCTCCATACACCTGCTCCTGTTTTCAGGAGACAGGGTGAGGACAGACATGGGGTAACATATTGTATCATTTTCTGCTTTGCTGCTGGTGGTGCTCAGCAATTTGTTTGTTTGGGAATTTCTTTAACTCACTGGATTATCTACCTTTGCACAGTTCTACTTTTAGTCCTAAATCACCCTTGATATAGTTTGTTCTTATTGGGACTGTGCATAAAACATTCATTTTTCAACACTTCTTGGTTTTATTTGTGGATTTCGGGATCTTGTAGCTCTTGCTAACGTTTGCTTAGCATCATGGCTACTTCTTCTCCGACCTCGTCTTTCCTCGCTCTGTGTGTGAGATGTTTAGTTCCTCCKGTGCCTCCTTTGGRGATGGCAACATTTGTATTAAATGCGGACTTATGGCAGATTTAGAGGCGAGGCTGTCTTTATTAGAAGCTCGGCTTCACGCTGTTGAGAAACGAACAGCTAGCCAGGCTAGCATGGAGACGCCGAGAGAAGCCTCTCCTGTAAGCGGCCCCTTGGTGGAGCCTGTGAGGCCAGCACCCCGAGCTAGTAGCTGGGTGATGGCTCGGAAAAAGCACAGTGCTAAAGCTAAACTTTCCGACCGTCAACCCGTTCATGTTTCAAATCGCTTCTCCCCACTCAGCGACACTCCGGTTGAGAAACAGACCCTGGTTTTTGGCAGCTTCATAGTCCGAAATGTGGCTCTACGGACTCCAACGGCCATGATTAAATGCATTCCAGGGGCCAGAGTGAGTGACATAGAATCAGTGTTGTAAAAAGTACCTCAAAGTGATAAGTGAACACGAAAAGCCTACCGATAAATGATGACGTCAACAGGTCATAGTGAGCTATATCATGGAAGAAGAACCTCAGCTTAGCCTGTTAGCTTTAGTGCCAACGCTATATTGCCTTATAGCTCAGCGCTAGTGCGACAAACTAACAAGCTAAACTGTTGTCCTCCATCCACATGTTCAGTTCCAGGC